AAGCCAGCTATGGTGGCACACACCTGTGATCCCAGCACTTGGGAAGCTGAGCAGGAGGATCACTGCAAATTCTAGGCCAACCTGGGTTACATTAGACCCCAAAGAGAGAGGGTGTTTAGCCTCTCAGATTAGTTTCATTTTGCAGAGAAACCTTGAGCCAGTCTCTTCCCATTGTAGGCTTATTGTCCCCATTTGTAGGAATTTCTTAAAGCTTTTCACAATGAGACCAAGAGAAAGGAAAAATATGAGAGAATTCTAGGGAATTTCAGAGCAAGGAGAACTAAAGACCTCGTAGTGATGGTATACTAACTCCTCCCCAGGCCTATCTTCTTGCTGGATATTATTACACTGCCACGGGCAACTACGATATCAAGTGGACCATGCCACACTGTGTCCTGACGTTGAAGCTGATCGGTAGGTGGTGGGCCTGCCCCTAAGGCTGCACGCCCTGTTGCCTCCCCAGCACACAATTGCCTGCACACAAGCTACAGGCCACGTCCTGTGTCCTCTCCCTCTGCTCTACCCATCCTTTCTCTCTCTGTCAGGTTTGGCTATTGACTACTTTGATGGAGGGAAGGATCAGGTAAGTACCCTGTTCCGCTGCAGAGAGCATCACAGCCTAACCCGAGGGAGGAGGAAGGCTGTTTTTCCCAAGGTGGGCCTGGATCCCAGGGCCAGAGCCTGTGCCTCAGCTCCCAGCTGTAATCCCATCAGAGTGCCCTGGACAAAGACCCACAAATCTCACCTGCTGTTTGGACCCAGGTTACACAGAGACCCAGCTGTTACACAAGAGACCAGAGCCACTTGGGACTATCAAAGCTGCAGCAACCAGCTGTTGCTAAGCCACCCCACTGTCCACATTACAGGTGGCCCTAAGAGGGGGCACTGTGCAGAGCTCCTGGGCTCCTACCCAGCAGAGATGCCAGGGTGTTCTGAACCCTCCACTCTCTCTCCACACAGAGCACCTTGACCCCTGAGCAGCAGAAGTATGCTTTCCGTGGTGTCCCTTCCTTGCTGGAAGTGGCTGGTTTCTCCTACTTCTATGGGGCATTCTTGGTAGGTCCCCAATTCTCCATGAACCACTACATGAAGCTGGTGCAGGGGAAGCTGACGGACACACCAGGGAAGGTGCCAAACAGGTAACATGCTCTCCAGGCATAACGCCAGTGTGCAGTCTTTTCTGAAGAGGCTTCCTTGCCTGGCCCTGGCACAAAGACTATGACTTCCAGGCCCCAGACTGTGCTCCTAGTGGCCTTTTCAGTTCACATTACATACATTAAGACTTTTGTCTTTTGACATAGGGTCTTCCTATGTACCTCAGGCTGGCTTGAATTTACCTTCCTGCCTCAGCCTAGGATTACTACCATGCTAATGCTAGGATTACTACTGTGTGCCACTGTGCACATAATTAAAAAAAAAAATTCATTTTTATGCTACAGGATTTTTACTCAAAGTCACCATGTTCCTGCCCTGAAAACCTGTTTTCTCATCTTAAAAAAAAAAAAAAAAAAAAGCTAACTGTGGTAGTATATGCCTATAACCCCAACTACTTGGGAGGCTGAGGAATTTACAAGGCCCTGTCTCAGAACAGAATATAATTAAAAAGGACTAGAGATGTTAGTTCAGTCCTCCATGGGTTTAGTCCCCACTGCAGAAGGGTAGGGGGCATCTACAATGTATATTAAAAAGGAAAATACGGGGCTGGTGAGATAACTCAGCAGACTTAAGTGCCTGCTTAGGCAAGCATAGGGACCAGGGTTCAATTCCCCAGCATCACACCTAGCCAGCTACTGAGACCAGGCATGGTGGCACACACCTCGATATCTCAGCACTGGAGAGGCTGGAAACAGGAAGATCACTATGAATCCAAGCTGCACAGAGACCCTGTACCAAATACATTTTAAAAAAGAAAAATATGTATATGAATATATATTGTAGAAAATTCAAAGGCAATCAGGAGTTCCTTTGCTGAGAACTTGTCTAGCAAGAAGTAGTGATAGGGGCTGGTGAGATGGCTCGGTGGTCTAAAGCACCTACTTAGAACAAGCTAAGCTAAGCAAAAAGCACAGGGACCGCAGTTCAATCCCCAGCACCACATGCCAGCCATCCCCGCCCCCTGGTGGGCTGAACTGGCCACACAATAAATAAATAAATAAAATAAATAAACAAACCTTTTTTTAAAAAAAAAAAAGAAATAGTGATAGCTGCTATTGCTGTCCACCCAGGGTTTTTCTGCTGAGACAGGCACCATTCACACAGCACCACACAGCCATCTCTAGAATGGTGTCCAGTCTGGGCAGCAGGGTGCAGCTGGCCCCTTCCCATGAGCCCACTCCTTCCCTTGCAGCACCATACCTGCTCTCAAGCGCCTGAGCCTGGGCCTCATCTACCTGGTGGGTCACACACTGCTCAGCCCGCATGTCACAGAAGACTACCTGCTCTCTGAGGACTACGAGGTGAGTAGCACCCACCAGTGCAGCACGGGGTGGGTATCTTAAGACAGCATAACCCTGTAGGCAGCAGAGGTGATAGCAATGCCACCTGTGAGAGCTGAGCTCAGTGCCAGCCCAGCTGAACCAGAGCCCAGCGCTGTGGGCACAGCAGGCTAACTCCAGCCTGTCTCACTGTCTCAGCTGGCAGATTTGGGGGCTTCTGAAAAGTCCAAAAGGAAGGGGAGGTGCTGGCTTTAGCACAGATTCCTCTCACTATTCTGGGTATGTTACCACAGACTGTGGATCTCTAAGGTCCCTAGCACTTAACTGTTCCAGGAAAGCAGAGGACAGACAAGTGAAGGACAGAAGCTGCCTCTGGGACTCAGGGAAGAAAGGGGATGGGTGTTTGGGACTCCCTGCCCATCCTACCCAACCTGTGAAAGGCAATTAGGCCAGACTGGCAGACACACAGCTGCAAGACCTTGATAACTCTAAGTGTATTCCTCTAAAGTGGGGCCAAGCATTCAAGGAACCTAGGTGTGAGCCTCACACACATCCTCTCTTCTCTCAAGAACCACCCTTTCTGGTTCCGCTGCTTGTACATGCTGATCTGGGGCAAGTTTGTGCTGTACAAATACGTCACCTGTTGGCTGGTCACAGTAAGTAGTGATGATGCCCCAGGCTTGTGTGCAGATGGCTGTGGGCCTGCTAGGGCAGGGAGAAGCCGGCACCCTGAGCCATCTCTTGCCTCAGGAAGGAGTGTGCATCTTGACGGGGCTGGGCTTCAATGGCTTTGGAGAAGACGGCAAAGCCAAGTGGGACGCCTGTGCCAACATGAAGGTGTGGCTTTTTGAGACAAACCCCCAGTTCAACGGCACCATCGCCTCCTTCAACATCAACACCAATGCCTGGGTGGCCCGGTACGTGCTCGGGAGTGGCCAGGAGCCAAGCTCCTCCTCCACTGCTCCTTCCCAATGTGAGGGCAGGGATGTCTGTGGGCAGAGCCCTTCTGTCCCCACCCAACACCTGGAAACATCCCACAGAAGCACCTCAAGCTCTAACTGCTGAGCAGTCCTCACTCGCTCACATCCTCCACTGCCCTGTGCATAAGGTCACCACTTACTTGCTGTCCCCACTAGAGCACAAGCAACTTGACGAATAATCGCCACTTGGCGTTTGCACAAGCTAGTGGCTCACCTAAGGTCACTCTGCCAAGCTGTCATCAGCACTGCCTTCCAAAGCCCCAGAGTGTCACAAGTGGTTGCCCACAATAAGACAGTGGGGCACAGGGAGCAGATCCTGAGGCTCATTCAACCTTTTCTCTCTAGTTACTTCTTCAAACGCCTCAAGTTCCTTGGAAATAAACAACTGTCCCACGGCCTCTCATTGCTGTTCCTTGCCCTCTGGCACGGCCTCCACTCAGGATACCTGGTCTGCTTCCAGATGGAGTTCCTCATTGTTATTGTGGAAAAGCAGGTGGGCCTCAAGAGGGGACGTGTGAGGAGGAAAAAGGGGAGGAGGGGACAGGGCACGGACACTTGCTTCCTTCTCCCCAGGCTGCCACCCTCATCAGAGACAGCCCAGCCCTCAGCAGGCTGGCCGCCATCACTGCCCTGCAGCCCTTCTTCTATGTGGTACAGCAGACCATCCACTGGCTCTTCATGGGCTACTCCATGACTGCCTTCTGCCTCTTCACATGGGACAAGTGGTTTAAGGTGAGGGGAGGCTCACAGTGCTGCCTGAGGATGTGGGGAGCTCAGGTATCTGGGACTTGCCATGCCTGTACATACCTCACCAGCTTTTCTCCTGCCATAGGTATATAAATCTATCTACTTTCTCGGCCATGTCTTCTTCTTGAGCCTACTATTCACATTGCCTTACATCCGCAAAGCTATGGTGCCAAGGAAAGAAAAGTTAAAGAAGATGGAATAAACAGCTTCTCTGGTAAATATTCCACAGCTGTGCTGAAGCTAGCAGGGAACAGGCTAGAGCAAGGACAGAACCAGAAGTCTGGGGTGGATTTCAAGGCAGCCTGGCTCCTGCTGGGTCAGTGCGGCACACCAACGGCGACAGGGATCAGGCCCCAGGACTGGCCTTACCATCTTGCGTCTTATCTTGCAGGTGGCCTAGAGCAGGACTGGTGCAGAAACTACTTGGCCCTTTTTCACAGCACTCCCTCATCCGGAGCACAGAAAGCCAGGGAGCCAGAAGCCGTGTGCTCCCAGCTGTGCCTCTGTTGCAGCGGCCAAAGGGGAGGCTTTTGTGGGAGGAGCGGGGGCCTGGTCCCCTGTGCGCCCCCATGCACGTTGCCTTATCTCTCCCCTCTAGCCAGGACTCTGCTGCTCTTCTGCCAATTCCCCACAACTGTCTGTGCCACCCCACAGGGGGGAGAGGGCACAGCCCCACCTGCTCCACTTTTCTATCTCGGAACTATACCAGATAAAGTCACTTCTGTTTGTGGGTTTTTCACTGCTGGCATCTATTGCTTTCTTTTACACAGTTCTCCTCAATGCATACATGGCTAAAATCTCAGGGTTGTCTCCTTAGTGCATCAGAATTCCAGGGCCACTTCCATGGCCCCAGCACCAACCAAAAGTGCCAACACTGTGACCTCACATATGCCCTGAAACCAGAACAAATTTATACTGTTAAGACTCTGCCAGAAACCTTGAAACCGACAGGTTTGAAGAAAACACATTTATAGGACAAATGAAGAGCAATGTACAGCATGGGCTTCCCCAGGCTTCAGTCTCCATGCAGAAAGGCCAGCTAGCCATGATCCATTCACAGTGGCACCAAGGAGCAGCCAACAGTCCTTTGCTTCACAACCAGGTTCTGCCATCAGATCACCCCCCACGCCTCCTCAAAGGCTGTGGTGAGCTTGGCACAGGTCAGGGCAGCAGAGAGGGGGTAGTTGCTGATGGACACCGTCTTCTCTGTGTACTCCACACTGACCTGAGGAGACAAACAGTCCTGTCACCAGCTGCTGCTCACAAGCTCAAGCTAGCATGAAGCTCTGGCTTTGTCTACAACAAGCAAGCAGCCTTCCTGGCATAGGAAGGTGAGCCACATTTGTCTAGCTGCTGGTCTACCCTTGAGTTCCCTGTGTGGAAGAACTGTTAATCGTTGACCGCTCAGCCTCAGCTCTATAAGGGATCTCAGAGGAGAGCCCAAACCTTACCTTGCCATGGGCAAAGGCCCCCACCACGAAAACAATGGGGTCACTACTAGGCGCCAACTCTCGCACATCACTGATGACTGGGACAGAAAAAGAAGTGCCAATTTTCATACAGCCAACTGGGAAATGATCGGACACTGGGTTCTTAATAACCTGAAGAAAGAAAGGAAAATCAGCTCCAAAGAGTCCTCAAATCACCCATGCTGCGGGTTTTAATGCCTCACCTTCAAAAGCTTCTGAGGGCCGTCAGCTGCTCGAACGCTCAGTTTATGTAAAAGCTGAACTAGGAGAAAACAAGAGGGGTTCAGAGCTAGGCAGAAGCTGCCTGATGCAGGAGAATCACCAAACATTTGATGGCGGCCCAGATTACATACTGAGTTCAAGTTCAGCCAGGAATACATAGTAAGACCTGGTCTCAGAGCTTTTTTTTTTTTTGGGGGGGGGGGGGATGGCAGCTCCACTCCTGCCCAGTGATATACTAGTAAGCTGCAAGTAAGGTGGGTGCCATGTGACCTCTACACCCACACTGCTCCTACATCTTACAACTGGGGCAGCACCCAAGCCAGCAACAGTGATGGATGGCTTCACACTTTTTCCTCTCAGCCAGGAACCTACTCAAAGGAGATTTCCAGGGCTGGGGAGATGGCTGAGTGGAATAATTACTTCCCTGGCAAGCACAAGGGCCTGAGTTCAATCCCCGGTTCCGCAAAAAAAAAAAAAAAAAAAAAAGGTTTCCTCTCAGCCAGGAGCCTGATGAAAGGAGAGGATGGTAGAATTTCCATGCATGGAAAAACAGAATGGAATCTCTGTCTAAGCACCAGTCACCCCCTCCTCCCGCTAGAGAACTTGCCCTCTAACGCTCTTTCCTCCCCTCTTCCCTGCTTCAACAATCACCCTGAACTCTCAGGTCCTGCACTTCTCACCCATAAGGCCACAGAAGCGGTCAAATGTTCTGGGGATGCGGGTCTGGGGGTTCACTTCAATCAGCACGTTCCTCTGTGTGTGGATATACACCTGCAGCAGGCCGGCCCGGTTCAGTGGGCTGTCCATCAGCATCAGCAAGCTCTGAGGAAGGCACAGGCCAAGCCAGTGAGGGCCACAAGTAGCATCTTGCTGCTTCCCCTTCCCTACAGGGCCAGGCTCAGGTGCCCTGAGCCACAGTTACCTGATGAGCTATGTCTGGTCTCACTTCCCCAGGGTCCCGCCCATTCTTCAGCAACATAGACTTGTGCTTGTCACAGTTGAGTAGTTCATATGCCTTCCCTACCTGAAGGAAGAGAGGACAGCAGTGTGTGCTCCTTGTTTAGCCCAGTCATTCTCAGAATAAAACCCCAGCACCAGCAGCTGTCCAGCAGGCAAATGCTTAGGCCCTTCCTGATTCCATTATGGCAGTGAGGCCACCCTTGCACACCGCCAAGTAACTGATCTCGGGGATGAGTGGCAGGGCGCAACCTACGACTGCTAAGCAAGGCCACTGAGGACAGAACCAGGTGGGAGTCAGGCGAGAAAGCAGGGCGGAATGCTCGCTATCCTAAGTCTGCTTACCACAAACATAAATCTATGGATCTAAGCAGGAAGATCTTGCTGGCTTGGGTGATGACCCTCGTGACAACTAATTCAATGAAGGAACACTTCTCTAAGAAGCAGCTAAATTTAGAGATTAAAAACAAAAGCAGCTGGGTGTGGTGGCACCCACATATAAGGAAACCAAAGTAGAAAGATCTTCATGAATTGGAAGCCAGTCTGGACTATACAGCAAGACCTGTCTCAAAAATTTAAAAATGGGGCCGGGGAGATAGCTCAGTAGAATAAGTGCCTGCCTAGCAAGCTCAGGGTCCTGAGTTCAATCCCTGGTACTACAAAAAATAAAAACATAGTGTTAAGTGCCAATACAAATCATGAGGGGCCAGGAGTTTTGTTCAGTGGCACAGCCTGCGGGGCAAGTGTGAGATCCTGAGTTTGAATACTGGCACAAAAGTCACAAGATGTTTTGTTTATTTTTTGGTGGAAACAGGTATTAAACTCAGACTCTTGCGCTTGCCAGGGAAGCGCTTATTTTACTGAGCCATCTCCCCAGCCCCTAGACGTTTTATGTATTACTAGAATATTAGTACATATCTTTACATGGCTTCAAAAAAAGTTTAGGGAAAAGAATGTCAATTTTGAAATTAAATCCATGGGATATACTTAATAGAAGAAAAAAAAATGCCTTGTCATTTACTGGCAAATCCACATTCTCACACCACAAAGCTAGACCCCAGTTCCATTCCTCTCCACCTTTCTGTTTTATTGCAATAGGATCTTGCTATGTAGTCCAGGCTGGTCTTGAACTCAGTGATCCTCCTGCCTGAGCTTCCTGAATCCTGGGATTATAGGAGTGCAAGCCTGGCCAATCCCAGCCCTTTAAGTTTTGTGACAAGTGCTGACTAAATTGCTTAGGCAAGGGCTAAGGAGATAGTTCCTGAGCTGCATTAAGCTTGCCATACTCCTTCAGTCTTCCAAGTAGCTCTACAATTGCAGGCACACACCACCACACTGAAAAAGTCTTTTATGCAGAATAATCATTTCCACCCATTCCTAGTATATGACAAATGTTATTTTAATATTTTAATAAAAACAACAAGAAACATCAAAAGTATTTCACACATGGTAATAATAGTTTATGAGCACTGGGCATGGTGCCTCACACCTGTAATCCCAGCATTTGGGAGGCTGAAGCAGGAGGATCACTGAGTTCAAGCCAGCCTGAGCGAGACCCTGTCTCAAAAAAAAACAGTTCATTGGGACCGGGGAGCTGGCTCAGTGGAATAAGCACTTGCCTGGCAAGCGCAGTGGCCTGGGTTCAATCCCCGGTTCCACCAAAAAAAAAAAAAAAAAAGCAGTTCATTAAAACTTGGTTTCATATAGTTGAATGTATATTTACTCACGTAACCTTTTTATGGGTTAAAATGCTTGAAAACCTCTAACCAACTCTGGTCAATGACTCAAAGGTACTGAAAAGAATTTTCCTTTTTTGTACCAGGGATCAAACTCAGGACTTTGTACTTGCCAGGCAGGCACTTATGCCACTGAGATACCTCCCCAGCCCAAGAAAATAAGGGGTTTGTTTTGTTTTTGTTTTTTTAACATATTTAGTACAGGGTCTCACTACACAAGTCAGATTCATCGTGATCCTCCTGTTCTCAGCCTCCCAAGCGCTGGGATTACAGGCCTGTGCCACCAATGCTCAGTTTCAGTGCACCACGGGGGCAGGGCTGGCACAGCACACTGGGGATCGAACCCCAGGAAAGTAAGAATTCTTGAAACCTTATTTCTTGAAACCTTATTCTATTCTCAGTCCTCAGAGACACAGACAATAATTACATACTCTGAACTTTAACAGACATTGCAAAGAAAGAGTTAAGCGGCTTATTAAAGGATTGTAAGGATGGGGAGACATGCTGTGCTGGCCTCAAAACCAGCCATGGTGGCCACACCTGTAATCTCAGGCTTGGGGAGGCTGAAGTAGGAATCACTAACAAACTGCAGCTGAGCAGCGAGACTCTGTATCAACAATAAATAAATACATAAATAAATAAATGCCAGCAAGGGGACGGGGAGATTGCTCAGCTGAGTAAGTGCTTGCCTGGCAAGTGCAAGGGCCTGAGTTCAATGCCCAGTTCTGAGAAAAAAAAAAGCCAGCAAGACAGCAGACTAAGTGCCTGCTTAGGCAAACATAGGGACCACACACACCTGTAATCCCAGAGCTGAGGAGACTGAAAACAGGAGGATCACCAAGTCTGAGCTGCACAGTGAAACTCTGTACCAAATACATAAATAACCGTAACAGGAGATTTATACCAGGGAATCAATCCACTTTTACCCCTCCCAGATATCATTTAATACATCTACCTTTTCATGAATGTTATAAAACCATCGATTCCCTGGTCTAACCTCATGACTGAAGAATGCATGTCATAGAAACTCAGTTGTAAAATAAACAGTTAAGTAACAATTAGTAAAGCAAAGAGCTGAGTTATGAACTTGCTGTGAAAGGACAACATATTCAATGGTTTTAAAGTATAAGAGAATTGCTTTCAGAGAACTTACAGGGAGGCCACTGACACTGGAGTAGAGAGATAAATGGAAGCCAGACATAATGGGATGCATGCCTTTTATCCTAATCTGGGAGGCTGAGGCAAGAAAACTGCAAATTTGAGCCCAGCCTGGGCAACTTAGCAAGACCCTTTCTCAGAAATAAGTCTGGGAAGAGCCAGTGATACAGCTTAGAGGCACAGCACCTGCCTAGCAAGCACAAGATCCCAAATTCCAATCTCAGTACCAAGAAAAGTAAGGCTGGAGATGTAGCTGAATGAGGCCTTGGGTTCAATCCTCAGTGGCACCAATAATAAATGGGAAGTAATATAATGGGAAGACTTCTTGCCAGATAAAACTGGCAAATGCAACAGGATGTAGTACAAAGGAGACATAACACAGCCTAAAGATTTCAATCAGTTGGGGCTGGTGAGATGGCTCAGTGGTCTAAAACACCTACTTAGAACAAGCTAAGCTAAGCAAAGCACAGGGACCACTGTTCAATCCACCAGCACCACATGCCAGCCAGCCCACCCCCTGGTGGGCTGAGCTGGCCACACACACACACACAAAATACATAAATAACAAATAAATTAAAAAAAAAAAAAAAAAAGATTTCAATCAGCTATAAAGTCACTAATCCTTAGTACAAAGTCTACATGGTCTCATTACATAGATCAAACTCTAGTGATCCTCCTGTTTTCATCCTCCCAAGCACTGGGATTACAGGTGTAAGCCAAAATCTCTAATCTTTTTAGCACATTAATGACAACCTATCAGCTTCCAGCATAGTGGTTATCACATTCACCTCACAAATTGGCCTAAATTCTTCTAGAATATGTTCTAGGAATTTTAATTTGCCCAACCTTTAAGTTTCTTGGGGGTGGTTTTCTTTTTTGTGATGCTAGAAAGTAAACACAGGACCTCACACAGCAACATCTTTATTTTTTGAGAAATGGCCTTCCTGGGCTAAACTCCTGCCTTGGCCTCCCACAGTGGTGGAACTACAGGTGCATCCCACCATGCCCAGCAGTTTTCAACTGTTTTGCTTCTTTTTGGAGGCAGGGTCAGGTTGGCCTCCAAAGTAGTCCTTCTGCCTCAGTGATCCCAAGTGCTGGGATTATAGGCATGTGCCAAACTTGTATACATTACATACATATTAACTTATTCCAAGTAGCTGGGATTACTCCAATAACTTCATAAAAATTAACTCCTCTCAACATTATCCCCTAAAATAACTAAGGTGTTTTTTGTTGGTGGTGGTGGTGTTTTTTTGTTTTGTTTTGTTTTGTTTTGTTTTTTCTTTTCTTTTTGAGACAGGGGCTCTGCTATGCAGTTCAAGCTGATCTTAAACTCACAACAATCCTCCTGTGATCCTCCAGCCCCAGCCTTCCAAGTGCTAGGATTACAGACATGCACCATCACACCCAGCATAACTAAGGTTTTGCCTAAGGTCACACAACTAGTAGATAAAAAGATTTGAACCCAGGCAAGCTAGTGGAAGTCTACATTCTCACTCTGCTGATACAGGCAAACTGTTCACATTTGCAAATTACAGTTGTCTCACAGCTAACATCAAAATTAACTGAGTTAACAGAAACAGCGGGCAATTAGTGTGGGGTGAACACAAGAACCTGTAATTAGGTTAGAAATACCAATTATGGGAAAAAATGAAACAGAATCTGGATTCTTAGCTGGTCATTTTTAGAACAGGGTATCTAACCTGCAATCTTACTGAAGTGTCACAGTAGCTGAGGAACAGATGGGAAGGAATCTCACCTTAGATTATTATGAAAATGTACTATTTTGAGCCAGCATCATGGTACATGCCTGTAATCCCAACACTCACGAGGCCAAGGTAGGAGGATCGCTGCAAGTTCAAGACCAGCCTGAGCTACAAAGTGAGTGCAAGGCCAACTTTAACTGCACAGCAAGAACCTGTCTCAAAAAAACCTATTTTTAAAACTTTCACTAGCTCCCCATGTGGTTCGATTAAGGTATATCCCTATTTTACAAAATGGATTGTCTCAAAAATCACATAATTAAATGTTTAACAAGATTAAAGCTGGGCGTGGTGGCCCACACCTATAATTCTAGCACTCAGGAGACTGCGGTAGGATTACCAAAGAGTTTATTACATAGTGAGTTTAGGACCAGCCTGAACTACATAGTGAGACCCTGTCTCAAAAAAAATAAAATTCCTACTTCTAAAATTCTTCTGGGCCTACCCATTGAACAAGTTTGGTTCTAAAGGGTAAGGGACAAAGCCACACTACATGAAAACAAGTCAGAGAGTTGCTGGCTTTATTGCATCCAAAGGGGAAAAAAATACTAAGAAAAAAAAGAAAGTCGAGACTTAACTAGGCCATAGTCCTACTAACACAACTGTCTTTCTGGACTAGAATATGGGAGACCACGCGCACGAAACTGCCCTGACTTTACATGATGATGTATCATGGAGCCGTGGGAAAGCAACTGAAAGCAAGGAGGGGACAGCCAGCATAGGAGTCGAAAAGGGGAAAAGAAAACCAGTTCTACTAACCCAGGCTGTCAAAGCGAATGATAGTCAACTACGTGACTCTTCCCCCACCTATCCTCCAAAAAGATTCTTCTCTTCTGCTTTCTCCACTTTGTGGCCTCCACCTCATCCCATGAAATTTCGCCCCATCAATCTCCTAGTTCCACACTTCAGCTTCCAACTACCTTGACTGTCTCCAGGCTGGCCCCCTCCAGCACCACAATGAGCCTGCGGCCTCCGGTCTTGCTTCCTGCTCCGAGTCGGGGTCTCTTAGGAGCGACATCCCAAGTCTCACCCTGCTCACGACTGCTCCGCTCACGAGTTTGAAAACCACCACTGGGCGCAGCCATCTTGCCACCAGACCGGAAACGGTGCTAATAGCCTTAATTATAACCTCGCGCTCGTCCTATCGCACGCTTCCTTCCGGCTGCCATTTTGAAAGTGGGCGGTGGGGCCAGTTCTAGCTTGTAGTCTTGCGCTACGGAAGCCTGCCTGAAAGGGCAGCGGTCCCGGATGGGGCGGGACTTCCGGATGCATCTTCCTGTGCACGGGGTTCGGGTCCGGGGTAAACCAGGGAGGGAGGATTTAGACGGGAGCGCACTTCCGGTGCCCTTTCTCCCGGGAGTGCTGAGGCCTGAACCCTCGTGTGCAGCAGTGAGCTCTACGCTGGAGTGGGCTACAAGCGGGCGGGCACCCCCTCCTCACCTCTGGTGCCGCCGCCCTTAGGATCAGACATGGCCCAGAACCTGAAAGACTTAGCGGGACGCCTGCCCGCCGGGCCTCGGGGCATGGGCACGGCGCTGAAGCTCCTGCTGGGGGCCGGCGCGGTGGCCTACGGCGTCCGCGAGTCGGTGTTCACCGGTGAGCAGCCGCCTCCTGCTCGCTGGGATCCCCGCCCCAGGTCCCGCTTTCTCCAGCCCTTCCCGCTGGCGCCCTGGGCTGAGCCTGACCCCCGCCCTCTCTCCACAGTTGAAGGCGGCCATCGGGCTATCTTCTTTAACCGGATCGGTGGCGTGCAGCAGGACACCATCCTGGCCGAGGGCCTGCACTTCAGGTAATGGCGGGCCGCACGGGCTGACCCTGAGCCTTCACCCTTGACGTGACCCGACCCGCGGCTGCGACACGGCTCACGCTGCTCGCCTCTCATCCCCGCCCCGCTCGCTCCCAGGACCGCGGGTGCCGCTCCAAGCACATAGACGATTGTTGTCTGTGGTTCTTTTCGGGAGGAGACCAGAAAGCAAGTGGTGAAGGCAGACTGGACAGAGTTAAGAGCGAAACTGCAGTTTCCTAATTCCTATCCCTGCCCTCTCCCCTCCAGGATCCCCTGGTTCCAGTACCCCATTATCTATGACATTCGGGCCAGACCCCGAAAAATCTCCTCCCCCACAGGCTCCAAAGGTAAGCGTGGGCAACTGGGAGGCACATGGCAGGTGGGATATCTAACATTGTAAACAAGGGACTTCATCCACATGGGGGAAGATAGCACTGCGAGGTCTCTTGTTAGGGGTTTCTGCCTTTGCAGAAGAGTCTGCCTCCTGAGATTAAAGCATTAGAACATCCCACCCGACTGTATTTTAACAATCTGTTTACCCTGTTGTAAAAGAATTGAGAATATCGTTTATCATTTTATTTTTAAGTCGCTATTCACTTCAAAGCCTTGTAAAGCCTTTTTCTTCTCTGAGTTATTAAGTTGTTGGGTGTACTGGTACACTTTCCCCTGGAGAAGCTCATTTCTACACTTTGCTAGTTCACTCCTTGTATTTCACACCCAAAAGCTGTGCCACTGAGATTCCTCAGCCTCCTGACTCATTTTGTCTTGCATTCAGACATGCATGTAGACAGGGGCAAGTACCTCCCTACAACTAGGAATGTGCTGCTTTGTACTGTGAAGCACCAGGGAAAACGTTACATTTCTAATTCCAGCGCTTTAGGAGGCAGAGGCAGGACCGAAAGTTCAAACACAACTTAACAATTGGGCGATTTAACAATTTAACAAGACCCTGTCTCAAAAAAATATAAGTAGCTAGGCACTCAGCTCAGTGCAGAGACCTTGGATTCCATTCTCAGTATCAGAAAAAGAAAAAACACTACAGTTCTCATCCTAAACTGCCTGTAGTCCAGTAAGGGAGACAGGTGATGATGACCCTACGTGGCAGTGCTTATGTTAACAATTGTACAAACCCAGCGAGGAAAACAGCTTTGTTAATGGAGGGATTGTGTAGGTGAGGGCATCACAGTGCCTAAGGATCCATTTCACCTGTGCTGTCATGGATGCAGACGAATACAGGGGAGGCCTGTGCTGTATGGTATTGCATTGGGTTTAGAGCAGTGATGCCGAGTCTTGTAGAGACCTGGGCCCCAACTGCAACCCAAAACTCACTTATCACAAAGTACAGTTTGCAGTTAAACCTGAATACTGAAGTTTTAGTTTAGAGAAAATAACTCATACACTCGCATCTTCTGTCTTAAAAACACAATAAGAGCTTTCACTTCCCAGGCACGCGCAAGGGCCTGAGTTCAATCCGCAGTTCCGCCCAAAAATAAATAACAACTTCTCAAAACTGCTGTAATCCCAGAACCTGGCAAGCTGATGTGGGAGGATTGCCATGAGTTGGTTAAAGGTGGTTGGGTGTGGTGTAGTACCCCCATAATTCCAGCACATGGAAGGCTGGGCCAGGATTTCCATCAGTTCAAGGCCAGCCTGAGTTACATAGTGAGACCCTGTCTCAAGAAATAATAATAAAAGTAACAGTTTCCATGTGGCCTGCTTTTGCACAGTGTGGTTTTTGCTCGTGTGTGTGCTGATGCATTATCAGAACTTGGCTTGTATTTTATTTGAGAGCAACACGTGCATCCCTCAGGTCACTTTTTAGCTTAGTTCTTTTTTATCATGACTGATATAATTCAAACCTGAAAACAGCTGCTTATCCAAAGTAAGAAAAGCAATCCCAAGTGTTTTGACTTAAAATTATTCAGAGAATCCCACACTTTGATAACCACCAGCTGCACTTTCTTGTCATCCCTTCACACTCCATCTTAATTGTTGCAGGCACGTCATAGAATTTACTTTTTCAGATAGAACTTGCTTGAATTGCCAGTAGTTTCAGATTTCCCAAATATAACCAGTATAAGCAGAAAAGATCAAGTTCTTAAAATTTGCCTTTTCTAAAGGAAAAAAAGCAGGGTTGTCTCCATCTTAATAGAACCATAAAAACTTTTGGCTTTAACTTATGTATTTAGCATAGGGTCTCACTACACAACTCCAACTCGGTGATTCTGTTTTCAGCCTCCCCAGCGCTGGGATTACAGGTGTGTGCCACCATGCTCAGACTAAAAACCTATTTTAAATTCTTTTGAAAGAAAAAAATAATTTTCCTTTGCAGCTGTTACAGTGCTAGGAGGTTCCTCGTAGATTTGTCTAACGGTTTGTAGGATTGTCTACAAATGTAGTTTTCTAAATGCATGTATTCACTGGGTGTGGTGGCACATGCCTGTAATCTCAGCACTTGGGAGGTTGAGACAGGATCGCTGTGAGTTCCAGACCAGCCGAGGGGCTGCAAAAGTGAGCACAAGACCAGCCCAAATTGTATAGTGAGATCCTGTCTTGAAAACAAAATAAAAAAAAAAACAAATGCATGTGTTTCAGTTACCCACTTGCAAGGTCTGGGGCCACTTGGCTTAAGTGCCGACAGAAAGCTCATGCTTGTCCACTACAGCACTTGTGCTATAGGTTTACTGCCACTGGCTTAGGAACAGGGGAGCGGGGCACCCTTGACCAGCCCCTGCTGACCTCCCTCAGACCTACAGATGGTGAACATCTCGCTGCGTGTGCTGTCTCGGCCCAACGCCCAGGAGCTCCCCAGCATGTACCAGCGCCTAGGCCTTGACTACGAGGAGCGAGTATTGCCATCCATTGTCAACGAGGTGCTCAAGAGCGTGGTGGCCAAGTTCAATGCTTCGCAGCTGATTACCCAGCGGGCCCAGGTCTGAGTCACCCCCAGCTGACAGTATTTGCCTCCTAGGACCAAGGTTGGCACTGTGGTTCCATTAAAGTCGTGCCAGTTGTCACTGGCAGGATATAAGGAGAACCAATGCTAAGAAGCCCTTAGCAGTCAGTATCAGGAAGGAAGCATGGGAGAAGATAGTGACAAAGCCCAGGTGTTCCTCTCCCTCTTTGTGAAGAAAGTTGTGGGTTTACCCTGCAGAAGCTAAGAAGATACTGCTTGTGTTGGAGGGAGTGGAGGATTAGGAATCAGTGTGACCTTGGGCCAGTCAGCCCACCTCCCTGAGGTGGATCATCTGCCTGACAAGACTGAATCAAGTCCTGTGCAACTCTCGGGGCCTAGTGAGCATCTGAGGAACTAAGCCAGGCTAGTGAGTTTCCTGCCATTCTTCAGATTCCGACATCAGATAGTCACAGACACACAATCTTCTTCCAGTTCTCCAGCCCCCTCAAACCATCCCTCCCTTCCCTTCCCCACCCCTGCCCCCAGGTGTCCCTGCTGATCCGCCGTGAGCTGACAGAAAGAGCCAAAGACTTCAGTCTCATCCTGGATGATGTTGCCATCACGGAGCTGAGCTTCAGCCGGGAGTACACAGCTGCTGTGGAAGCCAAACAAGTGGGTGAGTCAGGAATGGGATGAGGACTTCTGCCACTGAGGGACAGATGAGGCCTGCTTGAAGTTCCTGACATGTCCTTGACTCTGACTCTGTCATACCACAGCCCAGCAGGAGGCCCAGCGGGCCCAGTTCTTGGTAGAAAAAGCAAAGCAGGAACAGCGGCAAAAGATTGTGCAGGCAGAGGGTGAGGCAGAGGCTGCAAAGATGATATCCTGCCACAGAGAGCTGACCCAGCCCCTGGGGCATCCTGCTTCCCTGTCCTCCACTGGACCGGCTGATGAGACCAAGGCGAATGTGATTCATGCTCTCTGCCCCTTGGCTCCTGGGCTGAGGGCTGCAGATGAGGTCTGGAATCTCGGTGGGGACTCTGAGGCCTAGCTCCGCACCTTAAGGCTGGACCCATAGCACTGCTGGCCTTGCTTTGCCCTTGAGGCTGCTGCTACCCTGGCTCCAGCAGCAGCCTGCAGGAAGGCCCACAGGCAGGGCTGCAGGTGGGGTGGGCAGAAGCCATGTGAGCACAGCTTGGATCTGACGGCCCAGAGGACCACAGGGGGGTGCGAGGAGGGCTGGACCCAGACTTGTGGACCCTTAACCCTGCCCTGCTCACCTTGGAGAAGCACTGAGCAAGAATCCTGGCTACATCAAGCTCCGAAAGATCCGGGCAGCACAAAACATCTCCAAGACGGTGAGCAAGAGCCCCACACCTGCACCTTCATTACCTAAAATGAAAGTGTTCTTGCTGAGCACACTTTGAAGTCAGAATATTAGATTGTTGCTTGCTCAGATTTCCACTCAAGACTGGCTTCTCTAGTACTGCTGCTCTCAAGGACACATCCAGGAGTAGCACATCACAGTCATCACTCAGTGTTTGGGTCTTGAGAACAGAAATCACACCTTACTCTTGTCAGTGGCTTTTGAATAGCAGCGTTAGGAATCAAAGGTTCTGTTCACTGGCACTGAGCTACATCCTCAAGCTTCCCAGAGTGCCAAGCTTGTGCACCACCATCCTGGCTTTGAGCACTGTGCTAACGAATGTCTAGTTGCCCTGCAGATCGCCACTTCACAGAATCGAATCTATCTCACGGCTGACAACCTCGTGCTGAACCTCCAGGATGAAAGTTTCACCCGGTGAGCAAGTGTGTGTGGTGAGGTGACAGCACATGGGACACGAGTCTGGGTACTTGGGCTCTAGCACTTGCTAAAGCCATGCATGTGACCTGTGGTAGACATTCTGGCTCTGAACCAGAAACACAAGCGGGGCCACTTCCAGTTCCAGTCCTACATCCCATAGGACTGATCTGGTCCTATAAAGGGCACTTTAATTGCAAATACTTATCCCATCAAAAAGCAATGAAAGATGTACCTGGCATCTCTGCTCAGGACCCCACTGCTGCTCCAGGGCACCCAGGTGCTCTAGAAGCAGGGGCGGAAACTGCCATGGCCTGAGCTGTAAGTGATGTGCATTTCTCTTTTGTTTTCCTGCTCGCCTGGTGACGACCTGGTGTCCATAGGGGAAGGTAAGTTGTGTGGGGTTCCCACCAGATGCCTGCCTGCTCCTCACACCTCTCCCAGTGGCTCTTGGAGGGCCCAACTAACCGTCCGTCTCTACCACAGTGACAGCCTCATCAAGGGTAAGAAATGAGCCTGGTCACCTAAAACTCTGCCTCAGCGAGGAAGTGGCTGTTTTTCCTCTGGATTTTGAGGGGCAGCCTGTTCCACGTGGTGGTCCTTCTGCACCTGTCGCCTGGAGGCCATGCAAGACTGACCTTCAGGGACGACTTCCTCCTGTGTCAGCCAGGGCATTGGGACCTTGTGTGATTTCTCAGTGATTTCCTACAGTGTTGCACCCTCCCTCAGGTGGGAGGAGTAATCATCACCCCAGGAATTCTCAATAAACTTTTATTACTTAAGCTGAAGTCAGGGTTTCCTGTGTCGGTGGGAGAGGTGGGCACGGGGGTCACGCTTTTGCGCCTGGACTCCTGCCAGCCAGCAGAGGGCGCAAGGAGCTTGCCTGGGCTGTTAACCTCAAGGCTGTCCGTTAAGTCCCTGGGGCTGGGTTCCTGGGCCCTCCAAGCCCAGCTCCCCACTCCAAATCAGACCCATGCTGGGAGTAGCAGGCCTCACGTTGTGAGGGCAGGCTGTGCCTTCACCACCTCCCATGTGGACCACACTATCATTTAGCTACATCTTTAAGGGTATAGAGCAGCTGCAGCTTGGAGCCAGACTAAAAATGTGATAACCCCAAGGGGAGGTGTTTCCTTGGTAACAGGCCTCTCAGGAGCTGTGGGGAGATCATGTGCAGCTGCTGAAGGACCCCAGTGCTCCAAGGCCCAGTGGGTTTTCTTGCCTGCTATGGGCCTCCTGCACCCTAGATTTCATAGTCACCAGGTATGAGAAGCTAATTGCATGGAGACCCTGGAGATAGGCAGTGCCCTCCTATAGCCCAGCATGTCAGCAGGGAACCTCCTAGCTCAAGTGTGCAGAAACTAGTAAAGTGGAAGGAAAATACTTTGCACCAGGGACTTGGAAGTTAACTTGAGGTGGACTGATGTGGGATTGCTCCCCAAAAAATATGAGTGCTGGCTTGAAACAGCAATTTTTTTTCTCGGAACTGGGGATTGAACTCAGGCCTTTGAGCTTGCCAGGCAAGCACTTATTCTACTGAGCTATCTCCCCAGCCCCACAAATTTTTTGTAAGCAGGAAAAAGATAACAGGCTAGTCTATAATTGGTTACACACATAGGTTAGTCTCTGGGGCCTGTGTAGTTGGACGGAGCCATTTGCCATGGAGCAGGAAAGGGTGAGGAGGTCAGGGTCCCAGGCAAGATTTAGTATGACTTTGACAGAGCTAGCCTGCCCCTTGAGGCAAACTAGCAAAACCATATTTGTGTAGGCTCTTTTTTTCTTCTGACAGGGTCTCACTATGCAGTTCAGGTGGGCTTTGAGCTCACTTTGTAGCCTAGCCTGGTCTTTTAACTCAGTGATCCTGCTTCAGCCTCCCAAGTGCTGGGATTACAGATGTGTGGCACCACATCCGGCCTCATACCATCTATTTTTGGCCCTCTGAGGTGCTTTGGCAACTGGCAGGAGCTTTCTCTGATTATTCCTGACTTAGTATAACATTTTTTTC